ATTGCAAATGTTTTGTTCCCGCCGCCCAACCCCCCTTTTATTTTTTTTGTTTTTGTTTTTGGGCGGCCGCGGGCATTGAAAATTGAATTGTTTGTTGTTGCTGGCTCACGAAGGCCGGCGGCGACACGCCCACATTGCGTTACCCAGTCTCATTAGTGAATATCGTGTTCGGCTATTTGCCCAGCGATGAATGCGGTAAGATCCAGGCGCAGATTGCCTTGGCCAGCAGCAGGATCGCCTCCATTCGCATTCGCATCCTCATTCTCGACTAGGAAAATTAATGTTCGCACATTAAGTTAAATGATTGCGAATATTAGGAAATATTGGCCCGGCCAACTGCAGTGGCATCGCGATAGGGCCAAGAGGGATCTCGGGCTCGGTGGGGAAAAATAAATTAGTCCTGGCCTTGGCGGCTGTTATGTCATTATGTCTCATTAGCACTTTGCCCGGATATTTTTGCCGGGCAAATTAAAATAAAGAGCAACACCCGGTCCAAAGTTTGAGCCAAAAAGTAGAGTGCAGAGGAAAACCCGTTTGCCAATTCAAAGACAAAAGAAATGCTCTTGGAGTGAAAAGCGATCGAGTGCTTTGTGTTTGCTCCACAAGTTATTTGTTATTCGGTTCAGGTTCTTCGTCTGGTCGCTGGCAATTCGCTTGAAAATTTAATGAAAGCCTTGAACGGAGAAGAAGATCTCCCGCAACGCCTTCACTTTTGATTTTTCCTAGCAAATTGCGGGCTACAAGCAACTGTTGCAGTTTGTGGAAATCAGCATAAACCTCCTACATTTCACTTCACTGTCAACACGATTCATTTGACGATCCGCCAAGAGGCAGACCGTTCATTTGGTTCCCATTCAAATGGGGTTTTCACTTTTCATATGCCAAAAATCTCTGTCCGCGACCTGCTGAACTTTTCCCGAGCTGGAAAAAACCGCAGGCAGGCAGCACAAAGAAAACTGATATGGGTCAGGTACAGGTACAACATCATTCCATTATTTGAATGTCCGACATGGGCTACCGTTGCCTGGACTCGAGGCTTAAGACCCGGCTCGGAATCCTGGTCTGTGCCTGTGCCTGTGCCCCTAGTTACTTACCCATTCCGTTGTCGTCGTCGGATGTCAATGTTGGCTGTCAGTTTTGCGCTGCCGCCTGACAGGCCAACAAGCCAAAGAAACCCGGCTAACTGGACATCAGATGATCTCGGGAACATCACCTACATCGCTCTCTGACCACCAATCCGCAGTCTGTGCCAATTTCCAGCCGCCAGGCGGCCACACACTCCATTAATCACGGCCAGCCGAATTGGACAATGGAGATCTTTACAAGTCATAACCGCAGAGTTTTGCCAACGTACTGACACATTTTCGTGCGGTAATTACGGTTGGGAAGTGGCTATAAATTAACCTTAATTGAATGCATTTGACAAAGTATTTTTCTGGTGGGAGTCGGCCAATGAACTGGAGCAGAGCCAACTCTAATTAGCCAAATTAGAGCCAGAGCTCAGCCCTTTAAGGCCATTATCGTTAGCCCATTTCTCGCCTGGCTTCTGGCTCTTTGTTTTTCCGCCCAGAAAGTGAATCTGCCCGACCAAAACTTCACTTTCCATGGTTGCCAATCCAAGAGTCGTCGGCGGCTTCTTTGTAGGCCCTGCACAAATTACTTCGATTTAATAACAGCCAGCGCTGACCGACCATTTCAATTTTTACTAGGTGTTTATGGCGAGTCGTGACACAATGGTTTGACCTCCCTGGAAACCGAACCACGGGCGCAGCCTTTGACATTTGAGTCAAGTGGATTGTTTGGGAAAACAGGCTCGTTTTCGGGGCTGGGTCAGCGAAAGCCAGCCGATCGGGGCAATCCATCGATTGGCTAATGAAAACCGCAGCGCCTTATGAGCCGAGCATCCTAGTCATCCTCTTGTCACTTTCTTTTTCAATCACAGGATAGTATTTGCAAGCGGAATTCATAGAGGAGCCAGCCAGCAACGTATGCTAATTTGGTTAGAAAGCAAGTGCACATGGCGAATATCTAATTGTCCCCCACCTTAAGCCAAAGAAGAAGATCCCCGAACAAGTGAAACTGCCCAAATAAGGCATTGCAACTGCATAAACTGCAAGTCAAATGCGAGTCAAGTCACTTTGATGTGGAGAGCGGGTATCGACCATAAAGCCAGCAAATGTGTTGGACTTGGCCGCCTTTGTTGGCCAATTGCCCATATATAAATACTCGGGCCGAATCTCCAGCATAAATTTGTGTAAATCTTTTTCGGCGACTTTTGTGGGCCAACCGCTCAGGAGAAATGGCCTCCAATTGTGCCCGCTTTTAAGCAAATTAGTTACATATATGACTATGACTATGACTGTTCTCCCAGGCCGATCTCCAAGTGGAGCAAGACTTGGCCACTGGCCACCTTTCACTGCTTTTCAAATGTCGCGCTATTGTTGCCCGTGCGGCATTGTTTGATAAAAGTGAAGATAGCACTGGGATTGAGAGAAAACATTTGGCGACACTGTGTAAACAGCATGTATATCTCCGCCTGATCCAGTTTGAGCAATCAGACAAGCGGCAAATAAACAGCGGCGATCTTAATCGACGACAGGAGACCCGCAGGCCAACCTGACCCATTGTCCCTGCCTGACCATTCAATTGGCTGAACAGGTGGACTCCACCTGGTGGAGCCACTGGGAGAATATTATGGTTGCATCCTACATTTGAAAGACTGGTATTTATTTTTGTATTTAATAGTTCTTCAACACAGCCAAAAATACCACGATTCGGAATTCCACTACTATTTAACCATGATCGATATTAAAAAAAGGCATTCCTTATCTTCATATATGCCAACGTAACATCTAATCTTATTGTTTTTGTTTGTTCACAATAAGATAATTTCATCTCTAAAGGTCGTCAGAGCCAACTGCGTAGGAATTCGGGAAAAAACACCCAAATTACATTAACAAGAGCTAAGTGAATCATCACGAATCCGCATGAATTGTAAACCAGGTTTACCCCAACCCATTGGCAGCTTTGATTGGAGCAACAGTGTTTTACACGCATTCCCTGATTCCTATTCCCGATTCCCGGCTTCTTGTTAGCAGACGATTATCGCCGCTGCTTTGAAACCCACAATCATAACCAGGCCTAATTAATACGTGCGCCCTGGGCCTCTCACACCCAGAAGCACACCCCCAGATGCGGATACCTTGTAGGCCATATGCTAATTAGACGTACTCGCAGCCACTTAGCAGCTTGAGATACGTATCTCATTCGGCTAATTGCTGGTCACTGGCCACATGCATTTTGTGGGTTAACAGGTGACGTGGGTCTTCAAACTCAAAGGCGGAAACCGAAACAGAACTTCCCTATGACCGCCAGGTGCCACGCCCCTTTGGGAGAGCGGTATTTGAAGAACAAACGAATAATTAGCATGAAGAAATGATTGCACTAATTGTGGCATGAGAAACACCCGAGGAACACAAAGTGTGGGAATGCAAGCGATCTCTCATTAGATGTCTCATTAATGGGGGAGCAGCAAGATTTTGGCTAATTTGGTCAGGCGGCTCCATAAATTATGCAATCTGAGTAAACAAACTGCATCCAGTGAGCTCCATTCGGAGCTCTTTGAAGGCGCCGCCTGGGATTCTCACATTTGTCAACAGAGTTGCAGGAATTTTCTGGCAACCAAGCCAGCGGACAACCCATTCAAATGGCCTGAAACGGTTCCTCGGGGATTAACTTGTGATGGAGGAGGCGGTGGACCAGCAACTATAGTTGCTGACCCGGCGTTTGCTGATAAATTTCTTAATTTTAGGGATTGGGTTTTCGCCTAATTCCTGTTTGTTTATGGCCTGGCCCAGGAAACAACCATTGAAGAGGCTCTCTGGCTGCTCCCCGGTTTGATTTGATCTATGAGCGTGTCCACAGTTGCCACTTGCCGGGCTGCCAGCACATAAATTCCCAATCTTTCATCGATTCTCCACGGCAGCACAATCCACAGCTGCCGAGGATCACAGATCGCTGATCGGACTTGGGAGATGCAAGTGGAAGTGGAAATGGAGCCATGTTCATTTGCACACCGAGCTGCCCATTTCACAGATTTATCATCTTTTTTTTTCTGCATCGTGCGGCGGGAAAAAGGAAAACTAAATTTATTAATATGCCAAGTGTGGGGCTGGCACTGAAAATATAAAACCAGTTCCAAGGCCAGAAATTTATGGATTCGCTGGGCGGGCAAACGCTTACGCACACTGCCGTTAGCCCAATTCACTTTTCCCGCTTAGGATCTGGGCGGAATTAAAGCCACGGCTGAAAGGCATGCCTAATTGGATAGATCAGAGATCTGGCGGAGGTACTCGGATAAGTTGTTGACTTATCGCGTGCCAAGATGCCATCGCCATCAGTTGGGGCTTGGAGTGGTTTAGAGGCTTAAAGATGGAGATGGAGACACGGGCTTGGGCAAATAAATTGCCAGCTGCCGGAGGCGGCGGAGATCCTCTCCTTGGCATGCAAATGGCGATCAAGATCGCGATGTTTGCGTGGCCTGTTATGAGTCAATCAGACGCCTGCCTACATTGTCACCATCACTTGGTTCGGATAGAATCGCTGGATCGCTGGATCGCCGGATCGCTGGTTGGGCTGCCTGCAGCGCTAGATAGGATACTAGATGGGCGCTGGAGATTGTCGCGATTGCATCATAAAATTTAACTGCCCCGCCAGCCAATTCCAGCTCCAAGAGCCAAGTCAAAGTCATTGCATAAATTGGCAGCGCTGCTGCAGGAGCTGTTGCTTCTATCGATGGAGCCATGTGGATGTGTTTCTTGATGGTTCTTATAAGGCGCCGCTTAGGCAAAAAGGGGCTTGCACCAAATGGTGCTCCATTCAGCTGTCCACTTGGCCGAGATGTTTATGAGTTGACGAGGACAGGGAGCCGGCCCTACCGGTGGGTCCTTCTCTCATAATTCTCATAATTTCCCCCATGAACACACTCTGCATATGCTAGAAGTATAGTTTACAACACAGAAACACATGAAAAGAGCCGCAAGGGTCGGTCAGAGCTGCATGTCTGCGGAGACCTTCTTCACTAGAGGAGCTATCTCTTTGAAGGATTTGTTATCCTTGTCCTGCAGCAAGTTGAAGATTACACTCTCGGAGGTGGAAATAGTGCACCCTATGTGGCGCAATCGCTCCAGGGCCAAATCCCTGTCCTGATTGAGACGCGAGGCACAGCAATCGGCCACCAGCCAGACATCTATCTTGTCGTTTACCAGGTCGAAGGCCGTCTGTTCCACGCAGACGTGGGTCTAATAAAGGGAAAAAAGGATTCGCTTTAACCAAACCAATCTTTGCCCAATGTTTGAGTTACCTCCAAACCAAATAACACCACCGTCTTGGGATTGCCACCAAAGATATCAGTCATATTCTTCCGGACAGCTTCCACTATCATGGAGAACCTGGTCTTGGCCACATTGGCACAGGCGTGTTCAATATCCAATTCGCAGACGGTCTTGCCCAGTTTCTCTGGATACTGCTCGGTGACCAGCAGAGGCACTTGGAAGACCTTGCCGGCTGCAAGCTGGAATGCGATTCCATTAGAATACCGCCCATTATCCTGTCACGCTGTGCTGTCTCACCAGTTTAGCAGTGTTCTCGATGAGCGAACTCAGCAGCGGTATAGCCGGTTTGAACTTCTCCTGGACGTCACAGAGCATGAAGAGGGTTTTTGAGGGCACCAGGCGATAAAGGGCCGATCCACTGACCTTACTCATGATTGCTTTTATATGTATATTTTAAAACATGAAATGAAATATCTGAAAAGTTTGAGAAACGCTTGCTCAGTTTGAAATTGGCGCTTAGTTAGCGCCATCTGGCGTTTGGTGGCGGGAGCTGTAAGAAAAGGCAAGTACTAGCTATTAATAGCTAATAGCTAGAATTGAATGCAAAGTAAAAAAGCCAAAATAAATATTTGACTAAAACCCAAACATCTTCTAAATAAATAATTTAAATAGAAAGTATCTAATAATACCAAAAAATCTAAATGTAATCGTTAATACAAAACCACAGCTAAATATCTTAGCTGTGGTTTTGTATTAACGATTACTAAGACAAATATTATAGAAATAATTGGGTATAAGAAACTGAATAAAATATTTTGTGGATTAAATATCTTTGAATACAATAGTAGCTATCATCCTAGCCGATTCTGTAAAAAAAAGCCAGAATAATACCCCTTTTTGGTATTTTGGTCTGAAAAAGCGGAGAACACACTCACCAGAATCCAATTCCTAAATTTAAAATTAAAAATAAATCAAGTAATTTCACGTGGCCGATGCGATAACCGCCACCCCGATTCCCAATCCCCGGAGGCTGTCAACTCACCTGTCTTCAGGTATGGTCTTCGGGCTGGTGAGGTTAACTTACGGCAACCACCAGTTGCTCCCTTAAAAGCCTTAAATATGGTGATGATGGACTGCCCCCACAATTCCCCATCCAATCTTCCCGGCGCATTCCATCTTTCGACTTGTTGGCACAGGACCAGCGGAAAAGTCGCTGTCACGGTGCGGCCCAACTAATTGCAGTCGCATTAATTAAAGCACTCTAAAAATTTCCCAATAACCAACCGGTGGACAGATAAGCATCACGATTAATTTCTAGCCGAGTTACACTTGTCAACAAGAAACTTAATGCGAGAGGCAAGAGTGTTTGTGAATTGGGAAAAAGCAGAGGCGGCGGCAAAGGAAGCGGAAAACAAACGACAGCCGATTCTGACAACTTGAATTAATTGTCGATGTCGATGTCGCGGCCGAAGCCCTCTGCCTACCACTTCCCCTTAACAAAAACACTGAAGAAAACGTGCTCTCAAATGCGAAAACTTTAATGAACCCTTCATAAAATCAAGTCGATTTCTACACAAAACCAAAATATATTCAACGAGATCTTCAATGATAAAGTGTTCCACAAAAAGAAACGTTTTCAATTTGTATCAGTTTGTTTCATAAGAGATAAAAGAAAAGGTGTCAATATACCTTCTAATTTGTTTCCCTTATTTTTCTGCAATTTTAATGCAATTATATTTAACAAGAAGAACCATTCAAATATCTTCAGTGATAATTCAAGGCTCTCTTCGAGATCTAGAATCTCAGCAGTATTTTTTTCTGTGTACCGCCGCCTCTTCCGGCGCCGTTCTCGCCACTTTCGCTTATGGCGCTCGGCCGCGAAACAACTCTTCCGAAGCCCCAAGCCCGCGAGGCTTGTTCAGTTGCTCAGTTGCCCACTGATCCGTTCGCCTGGTGGACGTCGCCAGAAAGCGTTGAAAGAGCCCCGAACCCGGAGACCCAGCGATTGCGTTTGATTAAAAACTGATAGATTTCCGTGCTCCGTTGGCTGCCGAAAGTGTGTGTTGTTAGTCCCCCGAGGGGCCCTTTATTATTTCACCCATTAATCGCAACCGTTTTCCTTGCAGTTTAGTTCCAAATCCCGGAAAGATGAGCCTGCAGTCGATTAAATACTCGCGAGGGAGCCTGGAGATTCTCGACCAGCTCCTTTTGCCCGGTCAATCCAAGTACTTGGTTGTTCGAGGTGTCGAGGATGGCTGGAAGGTCATTAACAAGATGCAGGTGAGCGACAATCAAGGCGAATAGCCCCAGACTAGTGTAATTCTTCCCACTAATAACCCCTTCCCGGCAGAATGCCATTAAATGCCATTAAAATTCTTATTGGTACATTTCTTAATCTGCGCAATGATCGCTCGCCTGTCGGTTGTCGCTTGTCGTCTGTCTCTTGTAGGGCTATAAATAACGTAATTGAAATTAAAAATTTAAAAACGCTTGCCAAAAATAAAACTACTCCTTGCGCGTCACTCGGCGATCGCCTCTTACTGGGCTAATGCCCCCAGCCGCTGGTCCATTGGTACCAGACCACTTAGGTATAAGCACGCGCCTTATCACGTGGAGCCCTCGGAGTCGTACAATGTAAACTGTTCACTCCGGTATTTGCACCGTCACCTGATAAGCCTAGATAGGCCAGCCAGCTTAATCTTTCTGCTCTCCGCTCTTGATTTTCTATGCAATAAAAAGTACATGTTTTTTTTGCGAAAAATTAAGTAGTAACCCCTTAATGTAACCCCTAAAATCCAAAAATGATGAAAAATGGCAAAATCCGGAAAATCAACTTATTATTATACTTATTGGAAATAATGGTCACACGATGGAATTCCATACCTTGTTGAATTCGTGATAAAATTTCCAATCGATTGACATTCACAGCTAAAAAATGTCATTTTGGTCGAGTTTTCGCCAAAAATGATGAACTAACCCCTTATGAAAAATGCCAAAATCCGAAGGATCCGGAAAAATCACCTTTTTTTGCGGGTTTTTGACCAAAACCATGGGAAATAATGGTCGCATGATGGAATGCCATACCTCGATGAATTCGTTATAAAATTTCCAATCGATCGGCATTCACAGATAAAAAATGTTATTTTGGTCGATTTTTATTATGCCTTATGAAAAATGGCAAAATCCGGAGGATCCTGAAAAATCAACTATTATTTCGGTTTTTTGATCAAAATCATGGGAAATAATGGTCGCACGATGGAATGCCATACCTCGATGAATTCGTTATAAAATTTCCAATCGATTGGCATTCACAGCTAAAAAATCCACAGCTAAAAAATCCGGAAAAATCACCTTTTTTTGCGGTTTTTTGACCAAAACCATGGGAAATAATGGTCGCACGATGGAATGCCATACCTCGATGAATTCGTTATAAAATTTCCAATCGATTGGCATTCACAGCTACAAAATTTAATTTTTAATTTAATTTTTCGCAAAATATCATGGTCAAATGAAATTTCTCCAATTGCCATAACAAAAACATGACAATGCAAATGCTTTTAAGATTTGTTTCACCATCTTAATTGAGTGTGTTCAGAAATCGTTTGTGTCTAAATCGATTTAGAAAATTATCTCAAAGTTATTTTGTTGTCATTGCAAAACTAATACCTATCTGAAATCTTTATATAGGTTCGTGGTGCTCCCGCCATCGCAATCGTGGGATGCCTCTCGTTGGCCGTGGAAGTCAACCCGGAGGAGTTCGGGAGCAAAAAGTTGCTCCGCCAGGAGATTGAGGGCAAGTTGAACTACCTGGTTTCCGCCCGACCCACAGCGGTCAACATGAAAATCGCCGCCGACGAACTGATCACCCTGGCCAACGAACTCGACAAGGACGAGAACATCGATGTGGCCGAAATGAAGCATAGGTAACATTACCCACATCGCTGAGCAAGCAACCCAAGTCCAACCACGTTACGTTCAAGATTTCTGAGTGCCACGGAGGCGATGCTAAAGAAGGACATTGCCGATAACAGGGCCATTGGAGCGCATGGCGCCAAAGCGATTCTCCAGGGTGTGACGGAGGCTGCCGGCGCTTCGGCGGGATCTGCGGGCTCCGTCCGGGTGCTCACCCACTGCAACACGGGTTCCCTGGCCACCGCAGGATACGGCACGGCGCTGGGCGTGGTACGTCAACTGGCCGAACTGGGAAAGCTGGGTGAGATTTTGGATTTATAATCATACCTTTTTTTTCAAAATCAAGAAAACTGGAATATATACTTACTAATGATACTTTTCCTGGTCCTAGAGCACGTTTACTGCACGGAGACGCGTCCTTATAACCAGGGAGCACGCCTCACAGCCTACGAACTGGTTCACGAAAAATTCCCTGCCACCTTGGTTTTGGATAGCATGGTGGCTGCTTTGCTGCGGGCTAAAAACGTGGCTGCCGTCGTGGTGGGAGCAGATCGGGTTGGTATATTTAAATTTTTTCTGGTTTTCTGGCCAAATTGTATCTGAAAGTAAGATTATTTGAAACATTGACTAATCGGTTATCTTTTTTATCAGGTTGCCGCCAATGGTGACACGGCCAACAAGATTGGCACCTACCAGATCGCCGTAGTGGCCAAGCACCACGGCGTTCCATTCTACGTGGCCGCCCCGCTGACCTCCATCGATTTGGCGATTCCCAGTGGCGATCACATCATCATCGAGGAACGGCCTGACCGCGAAATGACTCACGTGGGTGAGCACCGCATCGCTGCGCCGGGCATCAACTGCTGGAATCCCGCCTTCGATGTCACCCCCGCCTCGCTGATCACCGGCATCATCACGGAACGCGGCGTTTTCAAGCCGGCTGAACTGAACGCAGCCATCAGCAAGCTGCTTGAGTCGTAACAGTCGCGCAGAAATTGTTTGTTTACGAATGCACTCCATTCCCCCAAAAAATCCGAAACCACAAAAAACAAGAGCACTCACACAGGCTCGGAATAGGCATTTTGCCAGCTGAGTTTTGTTTACAAAAACGTGTTCCCGCCTGCCAAGCAGATATGGGTCGCCGATCCGCTGGGGAGCACAACGCACAATATACCTCCTACATATGTAGCCCCATTCGCCAGTTGTTAACCTAATAGGGCATTGTTTTCGCATACTTTAAAGTAGCTTGGTTGTGGGTATGCTCCACCAGAAAGTGATCGAGGAGCTATGGAATCGTTACCGGTGATTTTTCTACTGCTACTGGGCGCAAGCCAAAGCTGGGCCAATAATGCGTTGAATGTGCAGAATAACTACAGGAACATGATGGTGCGTCTGGCCACCAGTAAGGTCACTCTCGCCGGGATTCAAGCCATTACCAAGCTGCTCGAGTCGTAACAGGCGCGCAGGAATTGTTGTTTACGAATGCACTCCATTCCCCCAAAAAATCCGAAACCACAAAAAAAAGAGCACTCACACAGGCTCGGAATAGGCATTTTGCCAGCTGAGTTTTGTTTACAAAAACGTGTTCCCGCCTGCCAAGCAGATATGGGTCGCCGATCCGCTGGGGAGCACAACGCACAATATACCTCCTACATATGTAGCCCCATTCGCCAGTTGTTAACCTAATAGGGCATTGTTTTCGCATACTTTAAAGTAGCTTGGTTGTGGGTATGCTCCACCAGAAAGTGATCGAGGAGCTATGGAATCGTTACCGGTGATTTTTCTACTGCTACTGGGCGCAAGCCAAAGCTGGGCCAATAATGCGTTGAATGTGCAGAATAACTACAGGAACATGATGGTGCGTCTGGCCACCAGTAAGGTCACTCTCGCCGGGATTCAAGTCCTCCGCGAAGGACGCGTCGAGGTAAGCTTTGACTTTGGCGCCACATGGGGCACCATTTGCAGCACTTCATGGAGCTTGCGGGAGGCGAATGTGGTGTGCAGGCAGCTGGGATTGGGTTATGCGTCAAAGGCCAGCCAGGGAACGGAGCACGGAGACAGCAGGAAGTACCCGTGGGGCATGGTGGGGACTTTATGCCGGGGCACCGAGCGCCGACTGGCAGAATGCATAAGGGAATCGCACTACCCCAACCTCTGCAATGCCAGGAATAATAATGTCACCATAGTGGCATGCGTGAGCCACTCGGCTGACCTGGAGATCGGACTGGTGGACATCGAGAGAACTGCCCGACTGGAGGCAGTGCCCATGTCGCGTCTCACCTGCGCCATGGAGGAGCACTGTGTGTCCGCCGACGCGTACGAGATAAGAAGAACAAATCCTCAAGCCGTTAGGATTCTGCTGCGCTTCTCCGTGAAGGCTTCCAATGTGGGCACGGCGGATGTGAGTCCGTATGCTAACTACAAGGACTGGGTGTGGCACCAGTGCCACCGGCATTACCACAGCATGAACGTTTTCGCCACCTTCGATGTCTATGACCTGAGGTACAGAAAGGTGGCCCAGGGACACAAGGCCTCTTTCTGCCTCATGGACACGGATTGCAGGCCCGGCGTGCGGGCAAAGTATACCTGCGGCAACACCACCCAGGGTAAGTTGAAAGCGGGTCCAAGGTGCAGGGCCAAAGTAACCCATCTTCCTGCAGGCATTTCAGTGGGCTGCGCAGATACGTACACCGATGTTTTGGACTGCCAGTGGGTGGATGTGACCCGAGTCCCTGTTAACCAACGCTATATTCTGCGTGTTGCTCTAAACCCAGAATATAAACTGGGAGAGATGTCCTTCGAGAACAACGGTGCCGAATGCCTCCTCGATTACACGGGCGTTCACCAAACGACCAGGATTTTCAACTGTCGACGCAAGCCTCTGTGGTTTAAAATATGAATTTACATAGTTTTTATGATACCTATAGCGGGTGTGGTGATTATGCTTAATCTTTATAAAATAAAATAAGGAATAATTTTCCGTTTTTATACTTTCTATGCACTGTAGTAAATGGCAATGTGTACATCTGGCAGTGGGTTTTTATAGTATTCTCTTTTCGAAGTGTTGCATACTTTTCGGCTTAAACTTTTTTAAAAAGTGTGGCATACTTTTGGGCAGCCAATAGCAACGCAACAAAATTCTATTTTTGCATTGCCTACTTTTAAGGGCTGCTGGGCTCTGACTTGGCGCAACCACCTACTGTAACTTATGTTCGCCTGGTGTTTCAGCTCGGGAAATCTGCCAATTCGACCGACAAAATGGACCAAATTGATCCAAAAGTCGGACTTGGGCATTTCGTTTGCCACCAGGCCAACAGAATTTGCAGAAGGCGGAAGCATGCAAAACTAGGCAGCATGCAGAATACCGTTAGTTTTGTTCAAGAACGCAAGGGTGTAGTCAGCGGGAACAGGGGTTGGCGGGCCAAAAGCCCCCAAATTGCGATTTCAACCCCTCTTGGCAAAATTCTTAGTACGCCCCTGTGAAACGCAGAAAACTAAAACCCGGAAGCCTACTTGCGATTATGTTGGCCTAGTGTTTCAAATCGAAAAATCTGGATTTTGGCCGTCAAAAGAAACCCACCAAACCCAATTTTTCCCATGCAAACCGAGCAATTTCAAAGTTTGAAGTACCAGGCGAACAGAAAACTTTGAAAGTGACCAGCATTCTGAGCAATTGTCGACCGATCAGCTGTTGTTTTCATAATGGCCGCCGCAGCTCTATGGAAGGCTACCGTTAGTTTTCAGCTTAGCTCAAGCTAGAGATGGACAAACCACTTGATTCTTTGTCCGTGTCACGAATTTGGCACGTCAGGCACGAAATCAAATTAAGTTTGTATGGGACGAGCGGAAAAACGTATGCACGCGCACATCGCTAATCACGCGTTCGTTCGATCGTTTTAAAGCTTGTTTACGTTTATGTTCGCCTGGTGTAAAGAATACAGAAATCTCTCAATTTACCTGTGTTGTTGTTGGTAAAATATTATTTTTCCACAATTCCAAGCCTAGGCAGCTATAAAAAGGCAGCCAACGTGGTAGTTAAATACGTTTATTGTTTCTGAATGTTCATCTCTTGACTTTGCGTTTGTATTTTGTATCATTTCGCTTACAGATTAGATTTATTTATGTATGTATATCTGGTATTTACGATGCTCTATAAATATGCCTTTAATTGCTAAAGATAAATATTTCGGCGCTTGCTCAGTTTGGTTTATCGTAGTTTAGGTGCTAAATTGGATTCGGGGCTGATGGCGTTTGTCTACTTTGTATGCGGGTCGGTTGTGCTGGTAGTAGTTGTTCAATCTATGCCTTACAATTTACTAGTTGTGCCTAAATCAAGTGAATTGGAACTTAGACTTGCAGCTGACACTTTCGCAACTGCCAGTAAGTTCAATAATCATAATCAATTTTTCATATTAACATAATAAATTCTCCAATTGGTTTCTTGGTTGCTAATTACAAAATGCCTACGCTACGTTTACACAAAACTTAGACACTAGCTAACATCGATATCTCAATGAATTAGCATTAGTTAGCATAACTTTCTGATAGATTTATTGCATGACGAAATCAATATCAGTAATGACGTTCTTTCATGGGAACCTTCGGGCCAACTTAAACTTAGGCAACAGAAAAGAGTCAAAGAACAATATGAAAAGCTTAGCAAAAGTGTGCGGCAATAAAACTTAGGAGGCGTATAAATAATTAAAGGATTTAAAATTTACAATCTGTTTAAATTGTACGCTTGTATCTATGCATATACAATATAGTAGCATGTGTTAAGTATTTGTTAAAAATGCATTCAAGTTTTCGAGTATTCATGTCATTTTCTTAACTTACAAATGCTAACTAGAACATCTCTACCTTCCAACGCTGTCCCGCTGAGCACAAACTACTTTACAAAAATTACACATTACTCTGCCGGCGTTGCCTGTACTTTACCGTCTACATAGTGCTGCTGATCCTCCTGCTGTTGTCCTGCTTGTGGTGATGCATGTTATAGATGATCAATTAGATATTTAAATAGCGCAAGTATTTAACTAACATTATTTTTGGGTGCTGTGACAAACTGACGGCCTTAGCTCTCATAGTCGTATAGTGAGAGGTATTCATGATACCACGTTTTCAATTAATTAACGCTCTAGTGTGTGCTTAATGTTTGTGTGTTTGTTTCGGTGTGTAGTCTTTTAGAAACATTAATAAATATATGTTATGCGGGTATGGCGAAATCAGCTTGCAAATTTTCATTAGGAAATTTGAAGTAAAAAATACAATTTCTTTTTGCGCGTCAACTGAGGGCGAAACCGAAACCGGTTTTGGTTTTTTAATTAAGTTCTGCTATTATGCTCTTCTGCTTCTGCTGAATACCCGCGATCCGGGGTGAATGTGCGCAATTTGTGCTATGTGTCGGCGTCCAGGTCAGGCGTCCGCTTAGAGGCTTCCTCGCATAACCTATGCTATCAGCTCTCGACCGTCGTCGAGGACACGCTGTGACTAGTGGTTAGCAGATGCTCGGGAATGGGTATGGGCTGCGTGCGAGCCGGCTGCTTCTTCTGGAAAGGAAATATAGTCATTGAATTTGCGCAACCAGAAGGTAGGACTGTACTCACCTTCCGGCGGAAGGGAAAACATCCCGCCTTGTCCGGTTCGGGCGTTGCATTGATCTGCAAGTCTGGCGTGGGACACTCCTCGGGACCGAAAACGTTCAACTCCCGAAAGCACTCGGTCTCCATCATCTCACTCTGCCAGGAAATGGACACGGATCCAGTGTTGAATTTCGTGTAGAAATTTGTATCGGATTCGTCGATATTGACGCCCTTTACCGTAGAAAACTGTTCAATATCGAGCACATCTTTGGCGTAAACGGCGTGAGGCTGTGGATGATAAAAAAGCGATTAAAGGTGACGTTACAAACAGGCATTTCCAATATCGCAGCGGCGCGTATGCAAATGAGTCAACTCACGTCTGGCACAAAGGGCGGCTCCAGCATGCCAGCCTCCAGGCGTCGCCAGTTGAGCTGGGTGGAGTGGAAAAACGGGTGGGCCATCACATCCTGCCCGCCCATGCGTCCGTTGCGGCAGCCCAGGCGCTGCTTTATCGATTTAGCTAACAGCTGTTGGCACATTGATTTGGCTTCATCATTAAACTTGCTCGAATACTTTTCGGGATCCTCCTGCAAGGGCAAGAAGGCATTAGCCTAAATCCTTAAAATTTGTGTGGTCATAGCCAACCTTAACGCGCCTGTCCACCTCCTCGCGCTTGACCTTCTCCTTGCGCATCCGGAATGGCGCCTGTCCCTCGATCATCTCGTACAGCAGGCAGCCGAAGCTAAACCAGTCAGGGGAGAAGGCGTACTTCTCGTTGTCGATGACCTCGGGGGCCATGTATCCTGGTTAGCGAAGGAAAAGTGAAGAAAATAGCGTAGCTTAGCTAGGAACATTCAATTCATTAAGCTTTATGACTTCTTACCCACTGTGCCCACCCGGCCGCGCACCATCTCGCCCTCCGGTATCTCGACGGCCAGTCCCAGGTCGGATATGCGCACGTGGCCGTGATCATCCAGGAGGATGTTCTCCGGCTTGCAGTCCCGGTAGACGATGCCCTGCTTGTGTAGATGCTGCAGTCCGCAGGCAACTTCGGCTGCATAAAAGCGGGCACGCTCCAATTCGAAGCCTGGGTCGCCGCCCATGTTGTAAATGTGGAATTTCAAATCGCCGCCTGCAAAAGGAGAGGACTTTTGATTGTCTTTCTCAAACAATGACAGGTCCACAGAGCCGTATTGGTTGACTGACTTGCTCTGGCTTTTGTGTTCAAATTCAATTAGGTCGTGGATTGACAGACAGGCAGCTGGGCGACTTCGGCGTTGTGCCAGCAGCTTGAATGCCAGGAATTTAATTAAAATTGCAAACTCAATCATCGCTTGGATTACACATGCATTTGTTATCGTTTTAATGAATGCATGCAAATGCCGGACTCTCGGATAATTGGCAGCGAAGGACATAGGAAACATCGAACTCGTCGAATGAGAAAATAAACAGGGTTAACCGATAAAGAGTTTCAATTCTTAATTAACCCTAACTGGATGGCCATCGACAGCTGTGTTGGCCCTTATTGGGACACAGAGTAACAGGATAATACCCACCATTCATTATGGTCAGAACCAGGCAGAGGGCGTCCTTTGTCTCGTACGCGTAGGCCAGATTGACCACGAACGGCGAGTTGATTTTCTGCAGTATCTGCTTCTCGATTAACACCATCGACTCGCCCTTGCGCTTCTTGATGCGCTTTTTCTCCAGCTTTTTGCACGCGTACATTTTCCCAGTAGCCCGCACCTGTGAAACGGAGGACAAAGGGAAAGGAGAGTGAAAACGAGGTCACTTGGCCACAGGTGGCAATTATCCTGGCTTACCTGACAGGCGCACACCTCGCCGAAGCCGCCCTTTCCGAGCACCCGATACATGCGAAACGTTTTATAGGTGATTGGCTGCGCCTCCAGCCACTTCCACTGCAAGTAGCTGGTTGGAAAAAGGGAACAGCATAAAGAACTTTTCTTGAAAAGTGGGTAATGTATGTAAATGTAATGACAACAAAACCCATTTTTCCAGATTAAAAGGCAAGGACTAATGCGTGTTTAAAAGAAAACCACTCACAAGCACTTGTTTCTGGTATCCTAACCTTAATACTGGAATTTTTTTCAAAGAAAAGTAGCTTATAAACATTTGATCGAATGCAATTAAATGTTTGCATCCGCATGGTTAAGGTGGCTAAAAATAACCCTACTCTCACCACGCAATGTTGTAGAGTTTTGATGAGTAATTGAAGTATTTGTATTTTAAGTTTCCGTAAATATTACTAATACGACAAGTGCACGTGCTGTTAGTTAAACAGTAACAAGGTGCTGGTATATCAGGACCTTAAAGTTTGCATACACGTTAGGATCGATGTAGTCAGCATATTATTAAGTGGTCGAAGTCTCTTTGTCCAAAATAACTTTGTCTCTTTTTTTGGTACCTCTTGAAACTTACCGGTGAAAATACATAGAGCTCTCAAACTCCCGAAACGGCTCGCCGGCCAGGAACGCCTTAACCGCATTCACACACTGGGCAAAGATGTCCTTGCCGCCGCTGTTGAGTTTGTTACGCACTTGCGCAATGAGATCATCGTTAAGCACGTCCAGCACAAGTTCGTCGGGATATCCCCCCACATGGGCACTCTTTCCACCGCCCCCTTCTCCATCTCCACCGCCCTTCTCCGCGTCATCATGGCTATCCAGGCACTCGACGCCCTCGTCCCCGTCGTCCTGGTGGCTCCCGTTCCCAGTGGCATCGTCGCCGTTGTGATTGCGCGTGTCCAGCTTCTTGTGATTGATGTCGCTGCTGTGCTGCGAGTTGTTGCTGTTGTTGATGTTGTTGCAGTTGTTGGCGGTGGTATTGTTGCAGTGTTCAGTCTCAGCTGTTTCAGTTGGATTGGCATTGCTGCTGTTGAGCAGCAGCTCCTCCTGCGTCTCGGCGTCCAAGGCGTCGCCACCGCTGCCGTTTCGCAGCTCCAGCTGCGCCTCGACATCCAAAAAGCGACGCCCGATGTCATGGCCAATGAATATGCGGTTCGAGATGTACTCGATTTCGTATCTGCAAGGCGGAAAGCGGAAAGACAGGGGTTAACTATCGCCTCAAAGCATTTATTCCAGCACTTACTTGACCACCTCATCCAAGAAGGTGATGTAGCGAAAGTAGACGGGCCGCTTGTTCTCGCAAAACAGACGGAAGAGCTCACGACCAATGGGTTGCTGATCTATCACGTAGCCATAGCTTATGTCTGTGGAATAAAAGGAAAATAAATATGAGGCAAATGTTTACGTTTAGCGCACCCAAAACACTCACCTAATTTGTCTTTCAGGTTGATGCATTGCGATATGTGCGGGAATTGCAATATTTTGCGCCATTTTTTGCTCTTTCCCTTGTTGCTGTCGGAACCACCTGAAAAGCAAAGAACGGAATTTAGTTAAGACGAGTTGGCCAACATTTACCAAAAGCAAATAAAGATTTGGGTTTTAGTAGTTCAATCGGAAGTCGCAACAATCAATTGGCATTTTATGAACACAATTTTAAACGGAATTTCTAATTCACCTCTCCGGAGCAAACACTCTCTGATTTCCCTGAAACTCGAGTGCAAAGGCAAAGTGAGCATTTACTTGTACAAAAAGAGGTTGTGGACGTGATTGCACTGATTGCTACTCCGCATCCCCATCGACAAGCTGTCCCTCTTCTGTCTGGTTTAACGTCATGCCGGCAATTTTGTTTTATTTGCACTAGCAACGAGCCATAAAAACAATATTTCCAATGTGAGCTGCATTGAGCTGCTCTCGTCTGTTGATTCGTGACTCGTGACACTTGGAGCGGCTGTTGACACGAAATGAATCAGTTTATGTGGTCACATTGAGGGGAGAGATCTCTCGGACGGACCTTTGCAGCACCTTCCGTTTCCAAGCCGAAGCCAATCGGTCTCGCCCATTTGGTTTGTTGTGAGCAAGTGATCTTACAATCCTTATTATCGTAAATAAAACACTATATTCGGGCGGAAGCAGAAGAAGCCTGTGAAACAGCAACAAAGGTGCACACCTACAGTCGTGGCCAATTAAAGAGCTACGAACATAATTGCTTTGAAGGCTATTTTATAGATTTTACAGTTTTATATAGCATTTATTTTCGTTACTTTATGTGTAATCGTTTCTGTTCAATTCGCTTAAAATTATTACTAGTGTATTTTCCCATGTTTTGTATAGAAATTGACTTTCTTAACACTGACACTCCCAAAAGAATGCTACTATTGCTCACAGGAGCAGACTGCATCGCCATTTGCTACAAAGTAGGCGTGTTTATGGCGTAAAACAAACATTGTAATTTGGATTTTGCCGAGCAGACTTTGTATCTGTTGCAGCAAGTACACACAAGTTGGCACATTCACATTCGTTCGGGGCTTTGAACGCCGAATGCGAGTGCATATACAATCCTGTCTGGCCACAGAGCATTAGCCACTTATTTATGTTGCCACCAGTCTGCCTCCCAAAGTTTAGCCCGGTTTAAAGTTCCTGGCGTAGGATTTCGCAGTGCGTGAGCATTTAATTTAGTCCCTGTGCAATTATGCAAAAACATACTCAAAAACTTTGAAGGGCAGCGGCGGCAACAGCAGTCGTAATTTCAATAAAGGAGCCACCACCTGAAGGATGAGGTAGCTCCTCGCTTAGTCAAATAATATTACCAGTGAAAAGTTTTGGAAAAGGGAAAAGTTACCCCTAAGCCTGGACTGCTGAGTGGTAGTAGTGGAGGCTGTGAAACGTTCAGGGCTTACCGAAGTTTGCCCAAGTAACAATTAGCTGACAGACCCTGGCACTAAAGCAAATATGAAATATGTGGGCCAAATGCGAGCATGGGATTATGGGATTATAAAGCGAAGCCTTCGATATATAGTCAGTTTATTAAATTCAAAGTTACTTTGAGTGGGCGAGGTAAAGCGACCATCAGAAAGCTATTTTCAAATGCTATTAGTGTAATAAACCTTACATCATTAGTGATACTTAGAAAGGAGCTGGGAATCTCCCAACCTTTAGATAAATTCTTCTTTCGACCATAACCACCGAGGCGTCGAAAAAGTTTGTGTAAAGTTTTTGCAATTATTTGGCGAGGCGTAAAAACAGAAACAAAGCCGCATTTCAATGAATTACGAAACTTGCGGGCGGACAGGCGAAAAGTCAAGAACACATTTTTAAACAAGCAAATCCCATTCTATGAGTGCTCTTCGTCCGTTCAAATCGCTTCATGTGGATGTGCAAAAGAAAAACAAAAGTAATAGAAAGTGGAAGGGGGTCGACGAGCGAGCGCAAAAAGAAAAGTGCTATAAAAACTTATTAATGAAGCCATCGCAAGGCTAATTTGCGGTTGATGGCTTTTCTAATTAAAACCAATCAATAAGAAAAATAGCGTCCCCATCTTGGGCAACAAACCCCTTGCAGCAAGTCAAGCGGTTACAAATGCAATTTGTCAGCCGGAGCGACTGACAACTGCAATGGCCGCAATGTTGCCGGCTAATTGAGTGCCCCAGACGCAAAAACACAGGATAGGGATAAGGACTCATCACTGGAGATTGCGACGAGAGGACATGGGTGACTTTCTGCCACAGAGTCCTTCTTATTTACGACTTAACAAGTTGGCACTAGATTACGAAGGGCCATCCCAGAGCCCGGGGAAATATAAAAAGAAATTACAATTTACATTAACCGTTCTCTGATTTATCGATTCGCATTAAAAGTTTTTGGTCCAAAACTTTTATGGACCTCGCCATCATTATGATCAATTTTCCGCTGGACGCCATGAAGTATGTGACACAATTTATAAGTGTCAAGTTGTCTCCTTCTTTCGCTTTAGTGTAATTTGATGTAATTTTTCACTAGCCAAGGAAAAACCAAGAGGCGGCCACCAACTGTTAACTGCAATTATTTATGACCCGCCCTCCATTTCGGACGACTAGTCGTGTTCCAAGGTTAAGTGCGTGCTAATAAGCTCACGGCCACAGCCCTCAGGGAACCATATCGCAAAAGGCTTTCGATTGACAGGGGAAATCTTTTTTGAGGCGGAGAGGCCGGGTTGAAACTTAAGCTTCAGCCAAGGGAATCAACGGAAGCTGCGGCAAAGCGAGTATTGAAAATGTTTAAAGCTTCTTAACTAAGCAGAGGAAATTTCAAGATTACCTCTATAATAAGTAAACCTAATAAAATATATCATACTTTTACGTGGGGTAGCAATTTTCAGTAACAAAACAAGAATCTTAAATTTGATAGGGTCTATTTGTTAATGAAAATTAAATCATCGCTCAAAAATGTGTTTTAATAAAATAATTATGTGAAACATAACTCTTACTCATGCGGGTACCAATGCCAGCCACTTGACGAATCTCGAACAGGCTGATGTATGGATAATCCCGCTGTTCAACCCCACTTAACCTCTCATTTGTCTCCTTTTTTGCGCTGTCTGGGTTTTGATTGTTTAAAGTTCAGCGTCACGGTGATGGCAAAAACAGCGACAACACAAAAAACATGTATTGAAACCAGCGTCAAAAATGTTCAACAGCAGATTTTACACAGTCCGCTAATGCAAAACAAACAGGCGGCAGTAGAAATAACCACGTCAGCCGAATCGAATCGAGGAGCGTTATCCCGACGATTTACCTACAGCGAAGCGCACATTAAATTAATTATTACAGTTAAAAAACCATAAAAATACAAAATAACAATAAAAAGCCGTAAAAGTTACGCCGCCGGCAATCGAAAAAGTTGATTGGCAGTCCTCGCACAACGCCACTGCCCCACCCGTCCGTTAGTGGGTGGTGGTGGGTGGTGGTGGGTGGTTGGGTGTTTGAGTGGTTCAGCGAGTGGGTGGCCGATCGGAGGGTGGGTGGAGCCGAAAAAGAGAGGGAAATAAAAGCAGACGCTGCCACATGAAATGCATGCAAATGGGTCTTTGATTGGCAAAGCCTTTAAATTACGGGTTGCACAGGACCGTAGAATGCGATACGCAGAGCCCACCCCTCAAGGTCGAAGTCCAGGGGAAAAAGCCACTCACGGAATGCACATAATGGCACTTTGCACACTTAACCAAATGGAATGGGATTAACCAACTAATTAAATGCGTGATAAAATAATTACACAAGCTGTACACATATATAAAAATTGATGTTGGGCAAGAAAGTACACCCAAATTCAGGAGCAATTAATGGACAGTTCGGCTATTAAGTGCAATTTATTACAGGCATTGATGAAAACCAAAGCAGAAATTCCCGATAACAAAATGTGAGTATGAGAGAAATCAGGATGCCCTGTTAATTAACTCTAATCCAAAGTTAGTGGAACTAATAAAAAAATACTCCTAAGCAATTTAGAACATTTACATTATACAAGCAGATATATACGAAATTTAGTCAACACAAAAAAGCAATTGGTTGATATTTGAAATACACAGAATAAATTTCTATTTTCGGTAGAATCTCAAATGTTTGGGAACCACAATTCCAAACAACTGCGCTGCAGTGAATTTTAAATTTGTTTTCTTTTAAAAACATTTATTTTTCTTGTGTACTCTATCTACGGACTCAAGTACCGACCGTCATTTCAACTGCTATGCTTGTAGTTGAAAACTTGAAATTCCCATCGAATAACTCAAATATTTTCATTAAAATTCCAAGCACACGCGAATAAAAACGAAAAGTGTGGCTATACAAATCTCATCATCAAAATAGCCTGAAATCGTCTGGTCTTGCCTCTCAAGTGCCCAAGAAACATTCACTCATGGAGATAAAACGAATTACTCTTTTTTCGGTGCCTTTTTGGCTATTGCTTTCGGCAATAGTTAAATTAGGCTGGCATGGCCATGAAACAACAGGAGACGTTATAAAATGTTTTATTGTCCAGCATTATTAATTTGTTTTATTTCATTTTCATTCCAGAGTCCATAGTCTCGGCCATCAACTGGAATCCTGGGACACACAATTTGCTGCTTCGTTTGCTGTGTCTCTCGGTCTTTCAAGCTTCATTTGCTCCTGGCAGACACAGAATTGGCGTCTTTTGTGGCCGTTTTTTAATAGCTTCGTCAGAGTGGCAGAAAACAGTTAACTTAGGGGCAAACTATAAAGAAAAGTTGATTCATTGGCGCCGTCATTAAAACCTTCTGAAGTCCCTAAAGACCCTACTTCAAATGGGCCATTTGAAATGGTTTTAATTTTTAATTTTGGCGTTTTTAGGAGCAGGAAAGAACCCCTCAAAGTGTAAAACGAATTGGATTTTACGTGTGTCCTTTGATGTTCTCAGCACGTTTGGTCCGTCATAAGCAAAGGTATTGAAATATGTGAAAATGTCAAGTGAGCAAATTGTGATTCACATATGTATGAGCCTTAATTTATTCATTTAAATACAAACTGACCGAAGAGT